GGCTTTCCGAAACGCGCCGCCCCTTCCTCCCCCCGCCGTGTGCGTCCCACTGCCGACGTGATGACTTATTCAGAGACGGATCCCGTAATCAGAGCACTGTGCACTGAAACGACACGATGACAATCCGTATAAATAGCTCGCTGAGACGGCGCCTGCCTCTCCCCCACCCAGGACGAAACGCATCACTGGCCGCAATGATGAAAACGTGTCTAACGACAGGCGGACCGACACACCAATGAGGACCCTTGAATGTGTACAAATGTTGAGCGACCCGCTTCCACCCTCCCCGTCTCCCCGTCCCTGTGCGGGAGGCGCCCCGCGCCCCACAGGACCCTCGGCCTACTCTCGCGCTTGCCGCGACGCCCCCGTCTAACACCCCGCGCTGTGGGTCCCATTCCCGGCGGGGTGATTTCAGGGGGCGGAGAGCCTCGGCGAAACGTCTACTGCCCTGGCTTTTTTTTCTCTATTATATATGTGTGCTTTTTTTGTTACTGTCCTTTTTTGTTTTTGGTTTTGTGTCTTATTGCGTCTTATTTTTCCCTCTCTTTTTTTTTATAGATGTCTAGTGTCTTTCAGTGGAAGCTCCAACGTCGTTCCTATTTTTGGTGGAGACGTGCTTTTCATCGACCGTCGCTGGTTTTATTTTTGTTTCTGTTGTGGGGTGTGCTGTTTATTGGCATATGGCGTCTTTTTTCAGCGGCCGAGCTTCGTGAGGAGAGTCGCCCGTTGAATCTTTTGTCTGTGCCGTTGACGAGCGTTTCTACTGGTGCGCATAAGGTGGTGCTGGGATCTCCGGGTGGCAAAAATGTTACTGCTCGTTTGTCTCTGCGTGGTTTGACATGTCCGCCGTACGACGCCGTGGCATTAGATAGACTACAGATTCCACTTGAACACCTTCCGCGGAAAAGGGTGACGAGTGTTGCGGCGAAATACAACAGACGTGCGCACGGTTGCCTTAAGGATGGTATCTGGCACCGTGTGCGTGCGGAGGACCATCGGGAGATCATACGCGGTATTGTTCGGCTGAGTGGCATTGCGAAGGGCTCGTTCGTATTGGATTGGGGAAGCGGATGTGGACAGAGCATGCAGTTCATGTATGAGGAGTACGGTGTGAAGAGTATTGGAATTGATGTGGCGAATGCAACCGTTTTCTACGCGCGTTTGCTCACGTCTGACGAACTGCTTCATTGTGTGGCGGATGGGACGAACTTGAGCTGGGTTCCAACGGACTTTTTTGACCACGTCATCAGCTTTGGATCTGTGTTACATGTGTTTAACCAGACACTCTTTTGTAATGTGCTGAGGCAAATGGTGCGGGTGGTGAGGCCGCTGGGCACAGTCTACAATGGCTGGAGTGATGAAAGTGACTTTAGGCGAAGGCATGTGCCACTGTGCCTGGCTGATTTGCCTGTGACGTACAAAATTGTGGAGGAAAAAGATGCTTTTTCACACGTCCGCGTGTTTCCTTTGAAGGCGAGGCAATCGAAACCCAACACCTATTCCCTTGTGATAACGAAGCACTCAAGGGAGAGGACGGCACTGGTGCCGGATAAAGTGTACAGCGAAATTGAGCTCATGCCTTTCCGTTGTCATGGGCCGAAGGGTATGACCTGTGGCGCACTGAGCGAGTCCGAGGCGGGCCAAACTTTGGCGAGAGAGGTTCTTAGCAATGACTCCAAGCCAGTGGAGTGGCCCCCGTGTCCGCCTTATGATCCTTCGTTTGAGTTGCGACGGATTCCGCTAGAACATTTGCCTCGGAAGAAGTCCACAAGTGTTGCGCAGAAGTACGACCGCCGTGCGCACGGCTGCCACAAGGACGGTATCTGGCATCGTGTCAGCCTGAAGGATCATGAAGCCATTCTGCGCGTTATTGCGGGGCTGCTTAATGTAAAGAAGGACGACCGATTGCTGGATTGGGGCAGCGGATGCGGTCACCACTTGCAATTTATGCATGATTTTTATTCTGCCGTTGGGATGGGAATTGACCTCAGCAATAAGACAACGGAGTACGCCCAAGCAATGACGACAAAACGGAATCGCTACTGTGTAGCTGATGGAACTCGCATGGAGTGGCTACCCTCAAACTTTTTTGATCATGCGTTTAGTTTTGGCTCCATTTACCACGTGTACAACGAGACCCTGTTTTGCAGTGTATTGCAGCAGATGACACGGGTTGTGAAGTCTGGTGGAAAGGTATATAACGGATGGACGGATGAGTCGGAATTCCCCAGCCAGAAAGTTAAATTATGCCTTACAGAGGTTATTCCACCCAACTGTGTGCAAGTAGAAATACTGGAGGAGGTAAAACTGTTTAAACACGTGAAGTTGTTTCCCCTAAAGGCGCGTAGGAGAGTGCCCAATACGTACTCGCTCCTCATACATAAGCTTCCTTCATGTCAAAGCACCTAATGCTCGTCTCGCGGATATTCCGCGTTATTGCGGTTTTTAATATTGCCATCATATCGTGTTCGTTTTTCTCCCTGCTTTCTGATTCTTTTGTGGTGTGTCTTATATTCTTTTCTTCTTTTGTAGTATCTCAATGTTTGCTAACGCCTCCCTGCATTTCCTTTATTTATTGTTTGCGTAGTTAATGTGTTTACTTTGCGAAGGCGTTTGCAACGACCACCCGTCTCACATACTCCTGCGCTCACGCCGAGTGAGGCGTTTTTAAACAGATGGGGGAGGGGGGGGGAGGGGTGGTGCGTAATTGTCGTGCATTTTGTCCTTTTGCTTCAATGTCTTTTTTCTTCTTCTTTTTGGTGTGTGCGTGTGGGGGAGGCGGGGAGGTTAATTCTGTGGTTACTCTCCTTCATTGCTTCACCGTGACACGTCCGCTGTGCAGGGGAGGCGGGGTCTCTGCGGTCTCCGTCATGGATCCGCCCTCGGGTGGCCTGTCCGCCACGGAGGATGACCAGAAGTGTTTTCTTGCAGATGTGCAGCATCGGCTTTCCCTGCACTGTTGCCGCGTGTTGGCTCAACTCACGACGCACACGAACAAATCTTTTCTCGCCCTGGCAAAGCGAGGACGCTCCCCACCACGTCCAGAGGCAGGAGGCGAACGTGCTGAGGACACTGGAAAACGCGATGAGTTCAGCATGCACGAGGAGGCCTACCGGTCTGTCCTCAGCGCCATTGCGGCTTCATGCACTCTAGGGCATCGCTCCTGTCATGCCCTCTGGGGCCCACGTGGGTGTGGTGAGCACCGCATTCTTCGCCTCGTGGCAAAGGAGTGCATGCAGCGCAAGGAGACACTTGTGCTTTACCTCGATGGTGACACTCTCAACGGCGACGAAGATGGCCTTCGCTCCATTGCGGGACAAATGCTGAGTTTTTTGCAGAGCCCACAATCGGCGCAGTTGCGAGCGGCTGATTGGTCCTTGCGGACGGGGAACTTCGACTTTGGGTCTCTTTTTGGCTTCTCAAGGTTGCTGCCGCAGGACGTTGATGAGTCGGCGTCGCACGAGAGCGGCGATGACACTGCCAAGCTGCCAGCGCAAAGGAGAACTGCGGCTAACCGGCAAAAAAAAACTGGAAAAGAGAACGACAGGGAGGCGGCGAGAAAGCGGGCTCGCGCGCCATCGCCTGCTGACTCGGGGAGTGAAGAGGGAAGCCTAGACGGGGATGGACGCCCGCTCTTGATGACGTCAACGATGGCGTCGGCCACAGGAGGTGTTTCGAGTGCCTTGCCAGCCTTGCAGCGGGCGCTTCTTTTGATGAAGAGTTATGGCACAAACCTTGTCGTTTGCATCCGTCGCGTGGAAAGGTTTGGTATTTGGTGTGACCAACTCCTGTACGTGCTCTCCGGGCTCATGCACGAGAGTGACGGTCGAGGCGGCGGCATGTCGCTCGTCATGACCTCATCGACGCCCGACATTCGGCAGCTAGAGAAACGTCTCTCGAGCCGACTCACTTGTGAAACGCGTTGCATCCCATTGCTTCCGTGGACCGCTAGCCGCGTGGCTAGGGCCTGCCTCGTAGAGGTGAAGGAAACCCTGCAACACCAGCTTGAAAAGAGGGCAACGGTGAAGAAGAGGGCGGAAAGCAGGAGGGAAAAAACCTCTGCTTCGGGAGTTCCGTCGCTGCCTGGGGCGGATGGCTTGGTTCCTCCCCACACGGGGTGGAGCTTTGATGTCGTGAGCGCCGCGCAGAAGGGAGGAAACCAACAGGCACATGCGACGTTGGCCACATCCGCGGCCTCGCCGCTTGCCCACGGGCAGTTGTTGGAGAAAACGATGCTGGAGATGCTGATGGCTGCCGTGGCAGAACTGGACGAGGCCGACAGTGTCGGACGTGAGCCACTGAACGACGGCGTCTTCGCGCGACGAGTTTCACAAGTCTCTAAGGATCTGAGGAGTATCGCTGCCACAGCTGGACGAGTGGTGGCGTCTGTCTCGTCGGCTTTTGGCGAAGTTTGTTCTGGGCGTCTAGCGTTTCTCAGTGAGAAGAGTCGTCGCAGCACGTTATTGTGGTTGGCAATATGGTTGAAAAAGAGCGGCGGCGACACGAGTTTGCGGGAAACCTTCGCGACGGCCCCACAGGCTGTACGGGCACTGTGGTTATCGACTTCTTCCAAGAACCACACTCGGAATACAACCGAGGCGGCGTCGGCGTCGGCGTCTTTTGATGGGCGCCAGCTGTTATTTGACGACCTGCTCTCGGATTGCCGTCTTGTGGAACTGGGGTATTGCTCTCGCGAAACATTCCTTGTCCTGCTGTACGTGTACTTGCGGCACGAGGCGGGGGTGACGCGAACCGTTGTTGACCTGCTGGAGGACGTCTCGTCTTCCATGGGGACCCAAGCAGCCGCGGCTCTTGACCGTGCGGCTTTTCGTGTTGCTATTGCCGCATTGCACCGTTGGCGCATTCTTCGCGTCGCCGGAAAGAGTGGCGCCGGCGTGGTTTCACTGCGCGGTAGCCCGGCGAGACTTCGGGAATTCCTGCAGTCGGTTCTGCGTCGGGCGGACTACTGTGGGTCCGTGTTGGGGCTGGAGGCGAAGGAGCTGACAAGGCTGCGTAGTCTCGTATGAAATTCACGGTCTTTATTATTATTCGGTCTTTATTATTATTTTGTTGCTTTACTCCGGTGTTCTATTCATCTTTCCTGCCTGCCTGCTCACTATTGCGTTTCCCCACCCGTTCTGCGCTGACGACGGTGACGTGTTTTTTTCCCCCTTCCTCTGCGCGTTAATGTGCGGTTCTCAGGGGAGCTCGTGTAACACGCCGGGGCGCCGCCATGTCTGTAGAGGCGTCTTCAGACGCGTTGCCGGCGACAGATGCCGCGGCGGATGCATCGACGACCGCACAGAACCACGAGCCGGAGGTGCCTGCCGGCGCCAACACCGAGGAGGCAGTGGCGACAGAAAAGGCAACAACGGTGACCACGGGGACGCCCGCGGTGTTCCCTGCGTCAGCGCCGTACGACGAGATTGACAGCGGCGAACCAGAGGAGGCGGAGAAGGCGACAGAGCATGAGGACAGCATGGAGATCAGCGGCATCCCGCCGAATGATGTGAAGAACATCATCTTACAGGTTCTTAGTCCATACTTTGATGACGAGGGCGGTGAAGACGATGCCCAGCGCTATGACCACGTCAAGGCCCAGGGGTGGATCCAGCTTATTTGCGACGGTATTATGGAAAAGCTGCTGGGCATGCGGCGGCCGTACAAGTACGTGGTGCACTGCATGATTATGCGTAAATGTGGGGCCGGAATTCACGTCTGCTCCAGCTGCTACTATAGCCAGGCTGACGGCTGGGTTAATCATGCCCATGACCTCTCAGCCCACATCTACGCGGTGGTGACTGTCTATTGGAGCGTCATATAGAAAAAGAAGCGGAAGAAGGAGGAGGAAGAAGAGAGGAAGGATGCAGGACAATCTGTGCAAGAGCGAGAGGGCACCCAGTTCCTCGGATGTAAATGGGCACGCGAGTGTGAGTGAGTGCGCAAAGAAGGGATGGCAGTAGCACCAGCAAGTAAACAACAAGCCCGGTTTCACCTCTTGTCACATGAAAGTAAAACAAAAAGAAAAACTAACTGTGAAGACTTACTGCAATATTCATTAGAGTTCGCGGAAAATTTCAGCATGTGACGTTGCTATTTTAAATCGAAAACTTCTCTTCTTCCTTTTCTTCTTTTGTCGGACGCAACTTTATTTACTTGGCCGGGCTTCTACTTCTGGCTTCGGAGTACCGCGCTTCCCACACGTAGTTATTATTATTATTTTTTTTTCTACCTACACACTTCACGAAGTAAGAGGTGAGAGAGGCGAATCCCCCGCGAAGGACTCATTGCTGATAGGGCGTTGTAGGAAGCGGATTTGCAAAGGATTTATTACTGTTATTGTTTCCCAATGTTTCGTGCTGCCATTCGAAGCTGCCTTTTAGCCCCGAAGAAGGAGGTTTTTCAGCGTAGCAAGCCGCATCTCATCATTGGCACGATTGGGCATGTCGATCACGGCAAGACGACGCTGACGTCTGCCATCACGACGGTTCTGGCGAAGAATGGAAAGGCGAAGGCACTTGACTACTTTGCCATTGATAAATCACCTGAAGAGAAGAGTCGCAAAATCACGATCAACGCAACTCATGTGGAGTACGAGTCGGAAAAACGCCACTACGGACACATAGACTGCCCAGGTCACATGGACTTTGTGAAGAACATGATTACCGGTGCCGCACAAATGGATGGTGGTATCCTTGTTGTGGCAGCTAATGATGGGTGCATGCCACAAACGCGAGAGCATTTGCTTATTTGTTCGCAGATTGGCCTTCCTGCCCTCGTCTGCTTCATTAACAAGTGTGATATGATGCATGGACAGGAGGACATGATTGAGCTTGTGGAAATGGAGGTGCGTGAGCTTCTCGAGAAGTACAAGTTCCCTGCGGAGGAGACGCCTTTTGTGCGGGGGTCCGCGGTGAAGGCGTTGGAGGGTGACCCTGAAAATGAGGCATGCATTCTTGAGCTTGTAAAGAAGTGTGATGAGTGGATCCCTGACCCACCGCGCGCCACGGATAAACCGTTCCTTATGGCTATTGAGCACGTCTACGAGGTTGGGAAGGATAAGAAGTCTGTTATTGTCACAGGGCGTGTGGACCAGGGATTGATGAAGGTGGGCGCGGACGCCGAACTTTCCGGCTTCAGTGCAAAGAAGATGACCGTGAAGATTGCTGGTATAGAGATGTACCATAAAACACTGGAAGAGTGTATGCCTGGTGACTCTGTGGGCGCCAGCATCGTCGGCACCGGGGATACAGTGAACCTCTCCAAGGACAACGTGGAGCGCGGCATGGTTCTCTCCGCGCCAGGCGCCACCACGCTGATTAACAAGGTCCGCGCGCAGGTGTACGTGCTGACGAAGGAAGAAGGTGGCCGCCACACAGCCTTTAGCCCTCACTACCGCCCACAGCTCTTCTTCCACTGTGCGGATGTCACGGCGGATATCAACTTCCCCGAAAGCGAGAAGTTTGCAGGGGAACTGAACAAAAAGTACGGCCGTGACCCGGAGGAACAGAAGAAGAAAGAAGCAGAGCTGAGGGAGTTTGAAAAGACGCTTGTCTGCATGCCTGGCGACAACCGCGAGCTCGTGCTCACCCTTGCCTATCCAATGCCGATGGAGAAGGGACTCAAGTTCACCATCCGCGAGGGGAAGATCACAGTCGGGTGGGGGGCCGTCACGGAGTGCCTCGGACTCGATCCAAAGGTGAGCATCGAGGGCGTGAAGCAGACGAAGGCGGTGACGGGCAAGGGAAAGAAGAAGTAAGGGGTATGATGGTGTTGCGGCGGAGGACGACGGGGCTGCGGTGGCAATCGCTGGTGGTTTCGTGTCCATGGCCCTGTAGTGGTCGATGGCAACTGCCTCTTGGGCCGCTGCGGCCGCCGAAGCCGCCGATAATCCGTGGGCAAACCTCGCCGCCGACTGAAAAATGCGAGGAGAGAAACAAAAAAAAAGGAAAAGAAAACATGAAGCATACAAAAACCAAGGCAATGCAAAGCAAGGAGCTAACGCAGAATCATTCAGGAAGGGAACTGCATGGGTGAAGGGAATTGTGGTGTCTACGTGCAACGATTGGGCGGGGGGAGCACCCGCGCATTTTTATATTTATATTTAATGAAGGCAGAAGATAACAAGGGAGACTGCGTGCGCCAACAACGCGGGGTAGGAAACAAAGAGGATGCCAGAAGGAAAGTGAAGGGAAACCCACAGAGAGCAAGAAAACGCTGAAACGGCACTTATGGTGGCGTCCCTCTCGCCAACCTGCTGCGCCACGTTTCTGCCCCCGGTCCCTCCTTCTTCACAGATTTTTAGGAATTGAAAGAAAATGGGGGAACAAAAAGCAAAAAGCAAGAAAAAAAAAAGAGCTCTTCTTGACGTTCATGCCACAGTCGGTGTGAGTGGCGCTGGATGCTTCCGCAGCAGCAAGTAAGAAAGGAATGAAACTTGTAAAACAAGACTCCAGAAGAGAGGTGGCATGACGGTTGATGGACGATGAACGTGAAACCCCCCAAAGGACGGCGCCTGCGAATGCAGGGCGTTGCTTCCGTTTGGAACTTTCCATGGGGCTGGGCTTCACTGGTGACTAGCGGTGTGGGACCTAGAGAGACAGGGATTTGTGTTCAGCGCAGTGGCGAGCACAACAGTGGACAAGCGATGAAACTACTTTGTATCCACAAATAAAAACAAAGAAAAAAAACGCACATCCTTTTGTATGTGTGTGTGTGTGTCTTGCTCTTTCTGCTTTTACTTTTTCTTCCCTCCGTGCGCTGTTTCTCGCTCATTGGCTCCCCCACGGAGCTCCTGCCCTCTCTCCTCCCTCCTCCCTCCTCCCTCCTTATTATCCCGCGCTTGCTCGCACCACAGTGGTGCGAGCTAAAAAACAACAACAACGTGGGCAAAAAACAAACAAACTTAGAACAACGGCGCTGACAAGGGCAGTTATCCGCCGTTGCGGCTTCTGCGGAGTGAGAGCGGGGAGGGCGATGGGGTAAGACGAAAAAGGAGGCTGGATGGGTGAAATTTAAGACTTCTGCTGGAGTGGGAAGAAAAGTTTAAGGAAGGAAATTGGCACCGCAGACGTATTCTAGCGGAATCCATATTTGGAAGGAAACACTCCTCCTCGCAAGAGTTTAGAGAACTGCTTGCTTTTATGGGTGAGTGGGTGTAGGTGTGTATGGTGTGTGTCTGTGTCCTTTCTTAACCGGCTGATTGCATCCTAATTCTCTGTCAACTTTGGAATACACCTGCTGCCTGTTTCTTACTGTCCCTTGTTTTTTTTCCCCCTTCTCCTACTCCCTGTTTCCTCCTTTTAGGCGTCACATGAAACGAAATTAAGCCATCCGGTCTCCAAGAGGCGGCGTTGGGCGGGCGAGAGGCTCCCACTGACCGTAGCTGATGGCCGACGTGAATTGAGCTTCTCTGGAGTTTGTGTGATTTCGCCCCTGCGGTAGCAGCGGCGGCTGGGGTGCCCTTTCCTTTCACGGCCGACACCCAGTTGCCGTTGCCGCATGCGCCGCTGTTGACTTCTTTAGCTGGGGGGGGGGATATGAGAGGCCTGTACGTTGCCGCCGCAGCTGCCTCGTTGTTTTTCCCCATTTACCTCTTTCTCTGGCTAGGACGACTGTCCCTCATTTTCTCCAGCTGCGGCTCTCTCCCGCCGAGGTTTGCGGGTGGCGGCTCCGTCTCTCCGCCGCTGTGCCGCGTCCCGGGCGCACAGAAACGGAAGCGCCAGCAACGCCATGAAAGGACACAACTGCGAAGTAAACAGTGAGGGAGACGGACGCGCGTAATTGCACTCCTCCTCGTCGGTGGGTTCATTGCCTCTTCTGCTCCGCTTGCGTCTCCCGCCACTTTCTCATCTGAAGAAAAAGTGCATTTCATCAGCCTAAGCATCACACAAAAGCCAAGGACAGCAACTCAATAGGAATAATTAGATCCGACAATATATTTATTTTTCTTTACACATCTTCTACTGCTATCATAGCAAAGAAAAGCAACAGCAATCATGTTCCGCTCCACACGCCTGGCTGCCGTGGCCTCAGTCTTTTTCATGCCAACGATCAGCTACCTCGGTATTGGGGCGCTCGACGAGGCCACGGCCAAGTTGCGGAAGCTTGGCTTTAAGAAGCCCTTACTGGTGTGCGACGCTGGCGTCGAAAAGGCGGGGATTCTTGGCACTGTTATGGAGTCACTTGAGAAAAAGTGTCAAATGAAACCTGTCGTCTTCAAGGATGTGCACCCGAATCCGACCTCCCACAACGTGGAGGTCGGTTTGGGCATGTTGAACAGTAACGCGTGCGATTCTGTCGTTTCTGTCGGTGGTGGATCACCGCAGGACTGTGCAAAGGGAATTGCGCTTGTGAAAGCCAATGGTGGGACCATTTTTGACTACGAGGGTCTTGATAAGGCAGAGAAGCAGCAGTTCCCACTTGTCGCCATCAATACAACATCTGGCACAGCCAGCGAAATGACACGCTTTGCGGTCATCACGGATGAAAAGCGGCACGTAAAGATGGCGGTCGTGACCGAGAAAATAACGCCTCTTATTGCTATCAATGATGCTCGATTGATGGTCGGACAGCCGCCTGCTCTCACGGCTGCCACAGGCATGGATGCTCTCACGCATGCGGTTGAAGCCTATGTGTCACTGGCCGCAAGCCCCACTACGGATGCTTGCGCGCTGCAGGCCATGAGGCTTATCAAGCAGCACCTCGCTAATGCAGTGAGGGATGGCAGTGACCTTGTGGCGCGGGAGGGTATGTGCTACGCCGAATACATCGCAGGAATGGCCTTCAACAGCGCCAGTCTCGGCTACGTGCACGCTATGGCGCACCAGCTTGGTGGCTTTTACGACCTCCCTCACGGTGTTTGTAATGCAATCCTACTCCCACACGTGCAGAAGTACAACGCTGCCGTCTGTGCACACCGTCTACGTGATGTTGCGGGCCAATTGGGCGTCGTCACAACAGGCATGAATGATGATGAGGCTGCGGCTGCTGCTATTAATGCGATTCGTCGTTTATCAAAGGAGGTGAACATTCCACGGGGCTTTAAGGAGCTTGGCATGCGTGAAGAAGATATTCCTGCATTGGCCGACGCAGCCTTGAAGGATATTTGCTCCTTTACCAACCCGCGGCAGGGCAGCAAAGAAGATGTGATGAATATCTACCGTGAATCAATGTAGGCACAGTAGAATAATAGGATAAGGGGTAATGTTTGAAAACGAGTACAATTAGCCAACAATGATTGAGAGTGATTAGGTATCAATCCTTTATGCAGGGAGTTGTCTTCTCAATGTTTTTTTATTTCTTTTCGTATTATGGGGGTTCTGTTCTGTGGGCTTCGTCTCTTCACCTACTCTCTTGAGTTTGTTTGGTTGTTTGTTTGTTTTTTTTCTTATGGGGGATTTAGCTCTTACGTTGCGTTGGAAACGTGGGAGGGGAGTGTGCGCTCAAGGGAGGTCAAACAAGTGAGCGGGACGTTTGTTCCCGCGCCTTGACTTATTTTCTTATTAATTCTTCTTCTTTTTTTTCTTTAACAGGCGCAGTGGAAGGCGGCGAGTGCAATTAATTTTTGCCCTCGCACCTTAACCGTAATACCCTCCACGCGGAGAGGTTCTTTTTCTCTGGGGCTCTGAAGCATATGAGTTCGTAAAGAGTCCCTGTTTATTCCGGAATACTGCGTGATGTGTTTTGTGTTGTTTTTCTTCTTGTTGTGGGCGTGTGCGTTGGATGCCTCTCCCCCCTAAGTAGAGGAGGTCGTGGGGCTCAATGGGCAGAACTGTTTACCTTCTCTGGTTTTCCTTTCTTCGTGTAGGCAGAAGGGGCAATGCCTCATCTAGGTGCGCATTCCAGCAGCTTGTGGAGGGAATTTTTCACCTAGGTGAGGTCAGGCGAGTGAGTAACTCATTTGTTTTTGTAGACCGGCGTGTTTGCGTACCATTTGATTAGCTTCCTACAAGACCTGCGTTGAGAGGTGGCGCCCGCAGCTTTCTTTTTCCTTGACGTATTAAAGCATGGCGGGCGTGTATTACACATCTCGGTGAATCGGCGGGTCCTGTCGCACCTTTTCTTGCGGCGCTCCCACCAAAATAGTCCCCCTCCGGGTGGTGACCTTGACTCCATTGGCAGCCAATGGCGCCTCCCAACGTGAGGCTACGTTTGCGATTGCGGAGTCCGGGTTTATTGCAGCAGACACTGCGGCCTGTGGTAAAGTGGTGGGCCTGGCGCCCATTCCACTCTGGCCGCAGTTCGCGGCGGCTTGTCGCTCCCCTGTCATTGCATGCGCGGCAGGCGTCGAGGTGGGACTGGGGAACCGCCGCGGTGCCCCCCCAACCCCTCTCGAGCAGGCGGAAGCACGGGTCGTTTTTTTTTTTTGCCTTGCTGGCATTCGCCGAGGGTTTGCCCCAACGCATTAGCACCTGCACGGGAACTGCCTTCTTGCGGGGTGACGCCTTTGCAGGGAGGGCAGTGCGCCTTGGCGCGGCGACTGGAAGCAGTATTTTGTGTGTTATTTTTGGCGTCCACGGCACGGACGCGCCTTGAGAGCACACGTGCGGTCACAGGGCATCTCCGCGCGGATGACGCGTCGCGTGGTCTTTACTTCGGTTACAACGGTGTGACGGAAAGGGCTCAACCGATGCGAGCAATCCACGGGAAGGGCAGGTGATTTTTCTTGCTCCGGCTAAAGCAGTGGCGTGGAGCGTTTGTTCTTCTGCGTGAGGAGGAGTTGTGGGCGTGGCCTGCAGCCGCGTGTGCAGTCATTCCTTTTGCTGTGCTCTGTCCGTGACGAGTATGATTTTTGTAGCTATTGTCATTTGTTTTTGGTTGTTGTTGTTTTTTTCCACCTCGTGTTTGCGCTTCCTATTAATATTGTTTTCTTGTCATAGGCGTCTTTGAAAACTGTTAGGGTTTGTCTGTCTCTCTGTTTCACTCTCTCTATCGGTGTCTCTGTGTGTGTGTGTGTGTGCTCGCTCGTCCCCTTCTCCCGCACACACGCCTGTGTACTTCATCCCTGACTGAGCGTGATAGTTGTTGTATTCTTTTGCTGTGTTTGTTGGTCTTTTTGCCCCACTAGCGACATGAACACCTCGTCCAAGGTGAGTGACCTGGTGGTTGCGACACCCTCCCCTTCGGCGGCGGAGAGGTCGTATGCAACGATGGCGGGCACCACCCTCGCCTCCCGCAACCGCGCGCTCGTTGTGCAGCACAGGAAGGAAACCGCAAAGGCCACTGTGAGGGAGGTGGATGTCGTGCATCGAGGCCTCAAGCGGCTGGAAACACGCATGCATGAGCTGGAGTCACGTGTACAGTATGTGAACCCGTGGGTGGTGCAATACATGTGGGAGATGCTGTGCGAATTGCGGGATAAGATTGGGGTGAAGTATAGTCAGCAGCGGGAGAAGGCGTGGATGACGGAGTTGCAGCAGCACGGGCCCCGTTCTCGTGGGGACCAGCCGTTGACAGAGCCAAGGGCGAGGGCGTCGCCAAAGCGAGGCTCCACAGAGACGGCGACAGCGGCGGACATGAGGACGACGACTTCGCTGGATGGGATGCTTTTGACAACCCCCATGCGCCTCTTCGAGGATAGCAATGAGGCCGGTGGTGGCGGCGGCGGCGGCGTGTCCCACGACGACGGGGGCGACAATCTGGAGACGTCGGTGTCGTCTGAGAGCGACGAGGAAACCGCGTGGTCTCGAGAGAACGGCCTGATGGCGAGTGAGATTTGCGCCCAGGGCGGAGCGAGCTTAGTGCGGGGGCCTTCCGGCAGCGACGATGCGCGTGGAGTAAAGGGTGGGAGACTGCCTGGAAAAAATGGGCGGTGGCTGGCCCGTTATCTTGCCGCCGTCGAGGCGCGGTGGGAGGGCTGCCGCGTTGCCCAGGAGGAGCGCAGCGGCAGGATGGAAGTTGCCCTGGAGGAGAGCACGCAGCGATCCTTCCTCCTCGCCTCCCTGTCACGCGGTTTGGCGACCGCGCTGCATCAAAAGGAACTCGCCTTGGCCTCCTCTGCCTCCTCCACCCGTGGGACCGACTACGGCGTGCAACGCGCGGCAGCCCAGCGACGACGGAGGCGGCTCGACGACTTGGATGTGCCGTCTCCACCGCGCCCCGAACTTCCTGCGGGACTCTCTCCGATTGCGCCAACCCAGAGCCCTTCTGACTTTTTCTCGCCGCAGCAGGGCGACGGCAGGCGCGGCGGGACTCAGGAACGAAAGCGACCAGCGGAGCGGTGCATGCGTGACGTCGTGGACGAGGACTCTGACTTTTCGTCGCCCAACGGCCGAGGACAGAGTGGCAGGGGCGAGCGCGAAGTGGCGATGGTGGCCAGCTCTGTGCTAAAAGCCCCGGGCTTTCTGCGGCAGCTGGTGGAGGAAGTCTCGCGACAGTTGGCTGTGCAGATCCAGCAAGCCGACATGACGGGGGCAGCGAATATGCCACCAACCGAATCACTGCCATCGGCGCTACTCTTAACGGTGCGCGAGGCCGTGAATGCCATCGCTGGAGCACACGACGAGGCCCTTTACCACCAAATACATGAGTCTCTTGCAGAGGAGCAGCGCCGGCGCGCTTCCAAGGAGGAGCGTCTCTGGCAGCGTGTAGCTGACCAGGAGGGCCAATGGACACGACTCGCCGCCACGGAACGGCAAGCCGAAGCCGAACTACTTCAAGAGCATCAAAGACTTATTGCAGTTGGAAAAGAAGACGCCGAGGCATGCGGCGAGATTCGCAGAGAGCTGCTAAAACTCTGTGGAGAGGTGGTTCGGGCCGTCGAGCGTGTGCCCGATACATTTGTTGCGCCGCTGCCGACTACTGAAATTGTTGACCGGGCGGCAGAAGGAAGTGGGGCTGTTCGCAACGACAGGGTGGAGCTGCGACTGGAAACCTTGTCAGCCGCCGTCAATGGTCTCTACTCGGACGTGGAATCGCTGCGGAAGAGGTCACAAGGCGAATTGGCTCCTCAGGCGGAGTGGTGCAAGCTGACGGAGCGACGCATCACGACTCTGCAGGAGAGCATGGTTGATGTACAAGAGGCTGTCGCCATTGTGGCCCGCAAGTCGCGTGATGCAGACGAACGCCTTGATGCAGCCAAAGCGGAAAAGAAGGAGTTAACCACTTGGGAGGAACGACTACAGGGTTTGGAACAACAGATGGAGGCACTTCCCTCTATTTTAACCACGGCGCCGCCACCGCCGCCGCTGCCGCCGCCTTTTGACACAGAAACGACTACGGAGATGAACTTGATGTCCGTGGAGGACGCAATGATGTGTGTCCAGAAGCTTATTGTTTCCCGTGGCGCGAATACGGCGGCGGCAACGGATCCGTATGTAAAGGCAGTGACGGCGTTGTGTGCCACTTTACAACAATTGAGTCATTTGTACAACATTGGCACAGGCACGTTTGGTGGAAGTCTGCGTCTCATATTTGCGATGCCACCCTTATCCGTTCCAAGCTCCGTGGCAGGAGCTTGCGAAACCTATCTACGTGAGCACTCTGCGGCAGAGTTGAAAGAGGCTGTGGAGGCCCTTAACCTCACTCACCAAGTCGCGAGGGTTTTGTGCGACTGCTACTACTGGATGCAGTCTCACCTCCTTGTGGTGCGTAGTGGAGTTACAGGGGAAACTCCGCAACAGCTGGAGACGAACACCGGCCCGGGTGAAGGTCAGGCGCAAGAGGGAGCAGAATCGTCGTCAAGGTCCGTTGCGGTGGCTTCACTCCCAAAGACACAGTCGCCTTCTGTCGTTAGTGATGCAAAGCGCGGGATGGAGGTTTTGCCGCGGCCACAAGCGGCTTTCTTTGCGCAGGAGATGGCGCACGCCAGTAGTTATTCGACCGCGACTCAGACAGAACCCCTTAAAACAGCAAGGCCCTCAACCTTGTCACAGGTTCGCGCCGGCGCCGAGACGAACTCTGAAGCGGCGGAAGAAACTCCCAGGCGGGAGTGTCAGACTGTTGATTTGGCGGCTCCCACTGCCTTGGAGGCGCTGGCGACAGCCGTCTCCCCGGCGACGGGGGACGCTCATTGCGGTGTGGTGCATCATTTTCACTACCACCACAGCTGCGGCCAAGAGCCAGGGCATCTACGCACGCCACCGCGCCCTGGAGAGGACGAAAAACAGTGGGGGGCTTCTTCGCAGCCTCAGGCGTCTCACCGCTTCGAGCTACGGTCAGATGCTGAGGACGGCTGGGACGCACATGAAACTCGTCTGGGAGCCAGTGCTCGACGCGGTGAACCGTCGTATCGTGCCGTGAGCTATCCTGCGGAGCAGGTGGCCCCAGCGGCTGTTCCTCCTCTGAACCGCTCCCACATCGATGCTGGGAAAAGGATTGACCTCATGGAGGCGCGTACAGTTGCTAATGGATACACGTCTGTGGAATTACCACCTACACCCTCCGCAGTGAATGAGTGTCTTCCACTGCCCACTGCGGCTTCCTGTTTCATAGATCCACAGCAGGCGACACAAGCAGCTAGAGATGGAGGGTTCTCCTTGAAGAATCCTCAGCCTTTTTACACCGCCGTGACACGACCAAGACGGCATTCACAGTGTAGTATCAATAAGAATAATAGTGACGGTTCTGCACGTGCGAGGGGTGCGCCCTTTGCCCCTCATTTAGCCGGAGATGAACACCCTAACGGGATGCGCCGCGCGCTCCGTTGCCATCCGACTGTGCATCCCAGCGTTGCAAGAGGTCGGGACGATGTCCTTACGAGCGTCGTGTCGTCACATTTACGCCAAAACCCGTGTGCGGACCGAGGCGATAAATCATCGCGAAGGGAGAGAAGTGCCCAGCGGTGATGACCACTGTGATGAGAGGTGGATAGCCCGCATCTGGGCCCCGATTGATTTGGTCGTGGAGGTGAGGGCTTGCCGCCAGGGCAATGTCCCCCTTCACTCTCCTTCCACTTCGTTCAACCCTCTTTTTAAAGGCGGTGCTTTCAAGCGCCACTGTGACTCATTCGCTGCGACAAGGGGGAGGAGGGGATCTTGGAAGAAAGGAAACATGCAAAACGCCGGAATCGGGAAGAAGGAGGGGAATACTCTTTTTTTGGTTGTTCGTTTTCCCCTTTTTTTCTGGTGCCGTCGTTTCCTTGCTTCTCTGCACTACAGATGGGCGTGGCTGCGTTTGTACTGGCTACTACTCTCGCTGTCCTTTTACTGCCCGGTACGGGTGTGCCTTTACCTACCTTGGCAATCCGTCTCAAATGCATTTACGGGTGCCTGTCTTTTGAGGGGTGGACTATGTTTTCTATGTGTTACTTCTATTTTTTTTTTCTTTTCCTCCCCCACCCTCTTTGGTTGTATTATTTTACTGGCAGCGGCGTGTTTTATTCACCCCTCCCTGGTCTCACCAGGGACAGAAGGGTTTGCCACGAAGGGGAGGCCAAACAGCTGACCCTACAACCACCACTACGACTGCTGCTGTAGTCGTCGCCGCCGCTTTGTTGTCAGTAGTGCCTGTGCAAAACGTCGCACTTTACATGCAGTCGGGTGGGCGTTCTTCGGGTGCGTTCTACTGCCCCTCCTGCAATGTGTATTGCAGCGATAGTCGCACGGCTGAACTGCATCGGTCGAGTCTAAAGCACAAGAAGAAAAGCGGCGAACTTGAGGCAGAGCGTCAGCGGTACAAAGACGACGCCAGCGTGACCGCGGAGGATGTGATGGCGCTGGTGGAGCGCAAACGGGTGGAGTTGGGGGTTGTGCCATGGAGTCGGCTGCGGGCCACGGCGGAGGCGACGCAGGATGAATAAGCGTTCTGTGGGGGCGGGAAGATGGTAGTGTGAAACAGGTGGAGGCCCCGCCCCGGCCCAATTCCGTTGACGCCCGCCCTCTCTATCCTTCTCTCTTTTTGTGTACTTCAACGACTGTGGAGGGGCCGGGCCAGACCCCGACGCGCCTTCACTTTGCCCCGTTCCCTGCCTCCTCAAACTTGCCTTTTCGTTGCTTCCCCTTCTGCTTCTGCTTCTGCTTCTGCGCCCTCCGTTTTCCCTTGTCTCCGGCGGCGGCGGTGGCGGTGGTCGTACTCCTGGACGGCCGGGTGTAGGTCTGCGGAGAGAAGTAACTACGAGGCAGTAGTAAAAAAACAAAAACAAAAAAAACTGAGAGTAGAGGGGACAAAGGGGTTATGCAGCCTACTTCACACCTCAACATGACGTTACCGTCTAAGGAAGAGGCGTGTCGGAGTGCGGTCGATGGCCTCGTGCAGGTCCTCGCTGTCCAGGAACTTCAAGCTGCGGCGCAGGGGACGTCGCCGCCGACTGAAAACTCCGTTCTGGCCAAGCTCGCCTCGCTAGAGGAAACACTTCAGCAGAACAGCCGTCTGGCGCGCGATCACGCCACGATACTGCTAAGCAAGCTCCGGGTTGGATTCCCTGCCCCCGGTGCAAGCGGAGGGGGCAGCTGCAATCCAGCTGCTCTGCCGAAAATAGTGGACTTTCCAACGTTTGTTCATCAGTCCCGTCTTGTGCGCGAACGGGTGCAGCGTGTGGTTGTCACCCTCGGTAGCGTGCGGAATGTTCGTCTGCTAAGTGAGGCCTCGACTGGACGGCACCTTATAACAGAGCGCGCCTCCGTGGCTGTTACTGAGCTGCTAGGCGTCCTCCTCGCGCTGGAGGCGGCGATGGCCGGAACCCCGGCGCCGCTCGTGGCTGGACGCAGCACCGCCCGCGCACGGTATGTTGTACGTGATGCTCGCTGCTCCTCCGGGATTTTAGGTGCGACGGCAACAGAGGCTGCCCACGCGGCGGCAGACACGTTGCTTGTGGATGCGGGGCAGAGAGAGACACCAGCAAAGCCCACTTCCATAGTAAGTAGGCCGCGGAAAGGAGAAACTGGTAAAGACCCTCAACGGGGCACGACGGCCACCCCTTCAAACCTCGCGGGGGAGAGAAATGGCGAGGTAAACGACAATAAGAGCGGCGAGGAACTTAAACCAGCCCGGAATTTTCCTGGGCGGAAACCGGTGCCGCCCCATGAAGCGGAAGCGAACGAGGAATCCGGTCCCATGGCAACGCCCAAAAAATCCACAGTAGACACCCCTCGCTCTTCCCCCTCTTGCCTCTCCGCCTCTTCTTCGCCCAGCCACCTTGATACGGGTGAGCGTATTCCTATTCGCAAGGGGGATTCCAGTGCACTGGCGCCAACGTATGTAGCTGCGCACAGCCGAATATTTCGAGGAGAACTCTGGCGGGAGCTTTTGCGCAAAGAGGATGCCGTTGTTCCCCCACGATGGAAAGAACTTTTCATACAAGACGTAGGAGCACTGTTTGGGATTCCGCATGAGTGGGTGTCCGATGTTCGGCTGGTGAATGAGCAGGTGACGTCGCTGACTGGTGGAGATCAGAAGGTGACGTTTAAGGTGCGCCTTCCCTTATCGCTTGAGGAAAATGAAGTGCATACAAGGATTCAACAACACGAATTTATGAGCATGCTGCTTCTCTACGAAGAGCTCCAGAGGGACAGGGATGAAGACGCGGAGGAGCAGGAGTCCAAACGAATTGTAGAATATGGCGCGAACTCCTGCACGTTGTCGGCAAACGATGATGTTTCTAGATCCGTGTCCCCCTCCGACTTTTCAGACACTGCTGCCCCAAGTAGCGACGTAGAAAGCAGTAGCAGCCGTAATGGAATTGCCGCCGGTGGTGGTTCGCCTAATTGCGGCAACAACGAAACCTTGCAGAAGGCTTTCGCAGCTTTGACTTCCACCGAGACCCTGTCACGGGATTCCTTGGTTATTCAGGAAAAGTATGGGCGCAAAATTGCCATGAGAGCGTTGCCACAACGTCAACCGTTGTCTGTACAGGGGCGGCAGGGGGCAATAAGGCCGTCCCATGCATCGTCGCAGCAGCAGCGCAACCGCGTGGAAGAAAAGACGACGCCGTCTGAGACGTGCGAGGTAGCGGGGAAAGACTTCGCTCCTAAAAGTCTCGACGCAGTTCCGCGGCGCGGGTTGCCGCCGCTGCCCCCGCGGACCGCCACGCCCCCATGCCTAGACCCCGCCTCCGCGGCAACGCCAGAGAGGGGAAAGACGGGGATGGCTTCTCCACCGTCATCGCCATCGCCCGTGCGGAATGGCTGCGAGATCCTCCATGCTGCTGGACACCAAGATTGGGATATTTTCCGTAACTCTGCTTCCTCACCAGACTCGAAGCTGGCAGCGAGTTCAGAACCGGGGAATGCATTGGGCCCAAAAAAAGCATTGGAACCAACCGTGCAGTGGCTCTACACCTCCCATGAAAAGTACATCACCGGAGAACACTGGGATCTTGTCCTTGCAAAGGAAGAAAACAAGCTGCGGCGCACCTTTACGGCGGAGTTGGCCGCCTTGTTTGAGCTTCCCAAAGAGAATGTGCGGGCACTGAAGTTTACACTTGGCGGTCTTCACGCCACCTTTGAGCTTATGCATGATCGTTACTTAAAGGAGACGGAGATTAACGCGCTCATCAGGGTTTTTGACTTTCCGCAGGTCCGCAGTCTTTACCAGCGCTGCATGAAGGACTTCAACGCATCTCCCCCATGCCTCGCTGACAACGTGAATGGAGACGGCAACGAACTGAGAAACACCAACTCACCTGATGTACGACGACAGGCGTCTCCGACAAGAGGCGGAACAGCTACAACCACGAGCCCGCTCCGCAATGTACGTGCCGAGAAGACTCCGTGTACGCTTGCGGGTGAGGAATATACCATTTCCTCTCCATTGCAGCAGCCTCCTCCACGCTCGCCGGACAATTCGTTGCTGGAAAACGCTGCTTCTCCCGACAATGAGCCCGTCACATTTGCTCATTTGGCCCTTGTACATGATTTACCAGTGGAGGCACTTCTGAGGGCGAACCCGCATCTTGCAGCCTTTGGCGCCAAGGATGCACTTCCTTCCTCGACGCAGATTGTGATTCCGCGACCCACGTCAGACGATGAGGAAGACGCCGAGGAGCGTAGTTCGCGTGGTACAACTCCGTCCGCGGTGGGCCAAGCTGCCCCGGCGATAAGCACCTCCGGTGAGGGGGACAAGGCCAGCTCAAAATTGCTTGCGGGGATGAAACGTCCCGAGGGGAAGCTTCGTGTGGGTGTGCAGGCATTGGGGCAGCAGAGCTCGCTGCCCGAGCCCGGCGGAGACGCACAGTCGCGTCTAGGAACTTCTTCCACCAATGTTCCTGTCCAGCTGTTAGCGGGCGCAGATTTACTCGCTGCTGTTTCTTCTGGCCGTGGCAGTAAAAAAATCCCCGCCATGCCCCGTGCCGTGCGGGGTTTGGGGGCCATGACAGCTACTACCGCAGGGCACGCCGAGGAAACGAAGAGCGCAGGAGGGGAGCTAAAAGGTGCTTCACAGTGGCAGCCGGCTCAGATGACGGAAACTAAGCAGGAGCAGATGTTGACGGCGGGTACAATGCAACAAGAACGCTCTCAACACGTGCAGGAGTCTTTGCAGTCAAGACGGGTCATGACACAGCGCCCGCTTCGGCAATCTCAGAGCCAGACACCTTACCTGAGTAACTCCTTTCAAATTCCCGTGTCGCAGCCTTCTTCCAAAAGGAAGAACGCCGCTGTTCGGACGGGTGACGCGGTGGTATTGATGCTGCGCTCGGTCGAGCAGTTTGTTCTTCTTCGTTTTTTTGCCAAGTGGCAGTATATTGCGCAACTACGTAAAGTACCACGCGCATCGCTGGCCGTGCAGGGAGTGTCGTTGAATGGGAGCCAAACGAAGTCACCGGTGGAGACGGAGCCGTTTACTTCTCCGTCTCAGAGACCAAATCCAGGTGGGGTTCTGACTCCCCGAAATGCCTTGTCGCCAAAAACTGAGGCGGCGTTAGGTCAAAGTGCAGGATTCATTGCGAAAACAATGGAGGCCATTGCACGGACGGCAAACCGAAGTGTGTCGGCGCAAGAGACTGAGTACCGCATTTCATCTGGAGGAGCGGCAGACACGTCTCCCAAGCAGCAACACCTCCTGCAGAGAGGAGTTTATGGGGCTCGTGCGAAGTATGTGCCTGCGCTTAGGATAATAGCTGGTGGTGAGCAAATTAGGCAGTCACCGCTGCAATATACTCCTGAGGATGCTATAACGTCGCCTCTCACGCACTGTGGTTACTGCGATACTCCACGTCTTAGTTTTGGTGAGATGGGCAGCAACCACTCTCGTTCTCGTGCGTCATCTACTGACATGGAGGTCAATGGTGTGTCTGATTCGGCGATGGCAGAGCGGTCTCCCTTAGGAATCCATATTTCTTCGCTGCTGACTATTATTGAGGCGCATGGGGAGGCGGAAGCAGCTGGGATCGAGCGCGGCGACCAACTGCGGGAGATGGAGGGGATGCGAGTGCGAACGTTAAGGGACGTCCGGAATGTACTGGCATCCGTGGGCGGAACACATGTTTGTCTGGGGATTCTAAAGAAGGCAGTGCCGCTCTTACAGCAATCCGCCTCCGGCGAAGTTGGAGGGACGCAATTGAGAGTGAGGCGGCTGCGTCAAGGAGCACGTCAGCCTCAGAGCCCAGAATTGCCCCCATGTTTGAAGAAGCGCGGGGTGGTTCTAGTGGACTCCGCTACGAAGCAGGCGCGTGGTGAGTTTGTGCCAGAGAGGGAAGGCAGGAGCCAAATCTCCCCGCCAACAAACTTCAACGCGTGGGCCAAGTGGCGCATGAGCCATGCGGACAACGTTGCAGGGGCCGCCGACACGCGAGCAGCAGCGGCACCGCGGAGAAACCCAGTAGTAGTACCGCTCCCCCCGGACGCACAGCAGGCGGCATCTCCAGCAGCATGTGCAACCGCAGCAATCGGGCAAACCATACAATATATATCTATACATATATATGTCTCATTTGTGTTTGTTATGCTTTCATTTTTACTTGGTGACGTTGTTCGATTGGGTACGATGACGGCGCCCGAGTGGCTGGAGGATACCATGGGCTGAATGGGGGAGGTGGTACAGAAGCGGCCGTCATCCGCAGGCGAAAGACTGAAAGAAAGGTAGATGAAATCGAACATTATTTCCCTCTTTCTCTTTTATTATCTTTCACACACCTATGCAGCTGCTACGGGTGGTGAGTGAAGATTCCCTTCTACGTGTGCGTGTCTTCACCTGTGCTTCTGCCCATCTCTCATCCTCCTGCATCCGGAGCGCTGCGATGTGCCGTGATGTCATGCAGAATAAACACAGTCACAGTTTAACGCCCCATTGCGTTCTTCGTTTGGGGGATGAGGTCGACGTGACTGACTCTATCCAGTGTGTGGGAGGCGGAGGCACTCAAAGGGCCGAAGGGAAAGGAAAGCCAGGTAGGAACGTCAAAAAAAAAAGACGAGGAGGTAAAATCTCTCAGCAAAGGCAGATCTGGGAGACTGGAATTTTTTTTCTGGAAATGTGCAAGTTTAATGAAGTGCGCCATTTTTCCCCCTTTTTTTCTATTAGAGGCGCACTGGCCACACTGTAGAGGCAGTGCGTTGTGGTATTTGATATAGGGTTGCAATACGCCGAGGTAAAGGCGATAGTTCCCCGTTTTTTTATGGATTTTGAAAACAAAACAAACGAATTATTATTATGATTTCTGTTTTGGTTTGTGTGTGTGTGTGTCTGTGCAGTTTCTCGTCGTGCGTGCGAGCCACTGTGTCTTTTTTTTTTACCTTGTCTGTATTACTGGCTTTTCTTTGCTGGTGTGGATGCCACCACCGGCGATGGCGCTTTGCTGTCCACGACCTCTCTTTTCTTTCTCTGCTGGGGGCCGGGGGGAGCGGCAAGAAGCAGCCGGGCGGCGGTGCGGCGCATCCACTTTGAAAGGGAAAGGCGCGGCCGTGATGGGCGACGAGAGCAACGCGATTGGGCAGGAGGCCCTGTTGTACGACAAGATGTTCCGCGTCATGCGGACGGTTGGGGAGATGATGCGCGACCGGAAGTACCAGGTGGCCGACAGGATCATCCCGAGCTCCGTGGAGGAGTTCAAGGACTGGTACACGGACCCGCGAGAGGGGGTCATTTACCGCGACCGCATGACGGTTCCCTGCGAGCGCATCGGGGTCTCGCAGCGCAGCCGCGCCATGGTGTTCTTTTCGGATGGGCTCTCCATGGAAACGATGAAGCGGTATCACACGCAGGCGGCGGAAACCAACTGCGACCGGGTTATTCTTGTGACGCATGGAAAGGTAAACGCCACCGTTAAGCGGCACGTCGAGGACCTCAATCGAAGCAGTCTGGGCTTGAAGATCCAGCTCTTCGACGAGGATGACCTCGTGGTGAACGTCACACACCATGAGCTGGTCCCAAAACACACGCAGCTTGAGGATGAGGAGGTAAAGGAGATGCTACAGGCCCATGCACTGGAGCTGAGTATGCTCCCGCGAATTCTCTCTACCGATCCCGTTGCTGCCTACTTGGGGCTGGAACGCGGGCGCGTTGTGCGGATCGAGCGCAGGAGCATGTCGGCGGGCTTTTACGTGACCTACAGACAAGTGGTGTAGCGACATCATTTTTGTTCTTGTTTCTTCACCTGCTTGTGCACGTGACACGTCAGTGGCTCTGTGGGTGTTTCTCTCTCTCTCTCTCTGTGTGTGTGTGTGTGTGGGAGGGAGAGAGAGAATTGTAACCGCGCTGATGAGTGGAGAGCTTAGGTTAGTCTAGTGCTGGTCCCACGCGGAGGTTGCTGTTGTTGTTGTTGTTGTTTTTTTTGTAAATGACATATATGCGTAGTTTGTGCATTTCCACGTCTCTTTTTTCCTGGTATCTCTCCAACGTTTTTCTGTTCTGTCGCTGCTTGGTGTGCTGCTGGCATTCCGCGCAGGGGGAGGGGCAGCAGCAAAGGCTGACCGCCCGCTCTCACGCGCACTCGTCGCACGCAGAGTCGGAAGAACACGAGCAGTAATAAGCAACAATGGGTTCAATTGAGGAGCTAAAACTTGTGCGGCTCTACCGCGCCTACAACACTGCAATTCAGATGTGTATGGACCGGGGCTACGCGGTACGCCACCCGTCCGCCGTCGCGCACGCCCTTCGTGACCCGTCTGTGTACAGCGACGAATACGGACTGGACTATGATTGGTTCCTGCAGCACTTTGTGGTTCGGCAGGCAACAGCCACCGGGGCGGCAGAGGAGGACGAGGGAAACGCGTCGAGGGTGCAGGCAAGCCACGACGGCGCCGTGGAGAAGGAGGAGAGGGGCAGGTGGACGCCGATGCGCGGCGCAATGCGGCTTGTGTGCAGTGCCGAGACGGGTAAGGCGATGTACGATGCGTCGGGCTCGCCCAACAAAAGTGGAGAGAAGGGCGGACGATCAATGCTCGTCTTTTTTTCGGCGTTGCCGTCGCTTAGCATGGGTGAATTGCAGGAGTTTCGCGAGAAGGCCTTACAGAAGCACGCGCACTGCATGATTGTTGTGTCCGCCGGGAAGATAACTCCGGTGGTTCGCCGTGGCGCGCGCGAGTTGAGCGGACGCCTCCGGGCCGGCACCGCCGAAGAAATTATGTCGATCCAACTCTTTGAGGAGGATGAGCTTGCGTTCAACATCGCACGCCACGACACGGTCCCATCGCACGTGGCGCTCTCTCCTGAACAGGCGCAGGACTTTCTTCAGCGGCGTCAGATTTCCCTCTCGCAGCTGCCCCGCATCCTTAACGAAGACCCGATGGTGGCGTACTTAGGCCTTGTGCGTGGCAGCATTGTAAAGATCCAGCGCGACACGAAGGAGAGCGGCCCCTACGAGATGTACCGGCAGGTTATCTAGCCTGCCTCGACTAACGCGACTGACGTCAACTGCTGCGTTGGTGGTTTTTGTGCCGTTAACTATCCGCGACGAAAGAAGGAAAGAAACAAAAAAAACCCAGTAGGCTATAACTCAAGAAAAGAGATAAATGAGTTTGGTGGAGAAAGGGTAAGGAGAGGCGCGCGCTGCTCTTGTCGATTAGGCCGCCTACCTTTGCTTCCAAAACGGGTTTCTTTCTGGCAAACCTGTGAAACTGATCTGTTTTTAAACATTCTTTTCCCCTCGCTCTTGAAACTTCCTACTCTATCTCTCTCTCTCTTGCGTGCGTGCTTGTGTCTGTGTGTACTCTGAAGCTGGGCGCGGCAGTGCGGGGAAACCGCCCTCGGACAAAATCCCCTTGAAAGGACGGCGAGGCACGCATGTTTCGTCAGGCGCTTATTTCTCTGGCGAGGGTGTACGGTGCGGCGCCAGTAGGCGGGGCCGGGCAGCAGCAGCCGGCTCGTCATCGACTGCTGCACGGAAAACGCGAGCGCCAGGGGAGCCTTTTCGCCATCGCCAACGACGTCAAGTACGATGAAAAGCGTCTGCGCCAGCAACTCAATGCCATTCTGGAGGAGGAACGCCTCCCACTGCGCACGCGGCTGCAGCGCAACGCGGCCCATGGAGGCGAGGCGTTGCCGCAGCGCCCCCTTGTCGACCTTCCAGGGGTGGAGCGACGCCGTGACTTGCCCGCCGATCCACTCACGAGAATTTTCTTTCAACACAAAGGCGATCATGCACTCTACTATGGCACCTACGACAACCCTAGTCTCCAGGACGACGACCGCATTCAAATAGAAAAGCGTGAGCCGCGTAAGTGGACGTACAATGTGTTTACTCCAGTCTATGATTTTTGTCACCGTATCCGCGAGGCGACAGAGCAGCGGAAGCGCTTTGTCATTGTGCCCTCTACGCTGGAGACCCGTGGTTGTGCCCGGGTGATGCACGGCCATGGGCTTGTAGCTGGGTTCCGTGATTTTCATAACGACCGCGCCTTTGCTGTGGAACTGAAATACTTTCAGGGCGACTCTACAATCAACGTTATTGAGCCCTGCGCATACGACGGCAAAACCGAGTTTGAGTGGAGCCCCAAAATGATGCGGCGGCTGCTCAACTCGCACGGCATTCACAATCGCCTGGTGGTGTACATCTGCCGGACCGCAGACAATCGCGTTATTGACCACATACAGGCGGTAAAGGAGAACATTGGCGGACGCGGACTGATGATGGTGCACTAGCTGCGAAAAACAAGAACGAATAAGAAGAACAAGAAAGAAAAACCAAAAGGAAACGAAGAAAGGCGTTCTTCTTGCGGTGCTTGATTCGTAAAAGCTGCATACACAACACGGGGGGAGTTGAGAGAGATGGAACACATGGCTCAAATTTAGACGGCTTTTTTGTTTGTTTGTTTTTTCTGGTTCCGCTTTCCTTTTTTCACTGTGTGCCCCTATCTCTCTCTTTGCGACGATGCGTTTTTCTTTGCTTTGTTTTTTTTTTGCACTGAGGCGAGTCGCGTGAATAAATCGCAATCAAGGAAAACACAGCGTCGGAAGAAGCCGTGAAGAATGAGCTTTCTTTTCTCTCTGCGTCCACCGGATGACATGCCGTTGGTGCCGCCGCAGCTGAGTTACCTTACTGAGTACGTTCTCTCCCCATTTTATGACTTGGTTGCACTTTACTACCCCACGTGGTGGGATCCAAATAAATTGACGTTGTTTGGGATTCTTATGACTCTCCTCTCATCGTTTCTGCTTCTCACTGGAATGCCGCCAACGACGTTGTTTGAGCCACCGTACGCCACCCTGCGTCCCGCAAGCCTTTTGCTGGAGGCGGATTCAAAATGGCTAAATTCTCCTGCTCCTACGCCGCTGCATCCAGCCGCACTGCGTCCGCTTTGGAGTTCTGTTTTCCCCTCTAGCAATTGGATGCTGTTTTTCTGCGGCCTCCTGAACGGCATCTACTGCGTTGCTGATAACACCGACGGACGTCTTGCCCGTCGGCTGAAGAAGACAAGCAACATTGGGGAATACCTTGACCACGGCCTGGATTGTGTGACCTCGCTGCTTTCAACTTGTGTCGGTATGTCTGTGATTGGAATATCATTCTCGAACATTGCTTTCACCGTTGTGACTATAGCCCTTGCCACAGTTTTCTCGCACATATTGAACTACGAGAAACACATTTTTATTTGGGGCAATCGATTTATCTCTGTAGACGAGGCGATGGTCTTTTTTTGTGTCGTAAACTGGATTCCAATTGCCTTTCCAGGGGTTCCCGGCGCAAAGGTGTCACCGGCTCTCTTGTACGCCGTGTTGCCTGAGCCGTGGGCGCAGGCACTGCTGCCTCTTCGCTACATTGAGGTTTTGATGATTATTTATTGGGCCTCCCAGATCTATGTCATTCTGGGCATTGCTAGCAAAAACTGGAAGATGCTTTTTCGGCTCACCACGTTGGCCGTGCTTTGCAACTCTGCCCTGCTGCTCGGCGTTATTCCCTACCACACGCAGCACCTCCTGACGGTTGGTTCCGCAGGATATGCCTTGGGGCCGTTCTCGTACGTGGCGCTCTGGTTCATCACTGTCGCATCCACCTCTAGCACGGTTGTTCACACGCTCGTTTACGCCCATTGCCTTCGGTTGCCCCGCGTCGATGCGTCCGCGCTTGCGGGTCTTTTTTTTGTCTGGCCCGTCTTTCTCTGTTGCCCTGCGGCTGGGATGCTGATCTCTGTCGTCTGGCATATTGCGCAAATTGTCTGCTATGTGAGGAGCCTCCAAAGCCACCATGATGCGGCATCGCGAAGGCTGAAAGCGGCATAAGATGCACGGCTGCTTTAATAAAGGGAAAGCAAAATCAAAGCGAAAGAAAAAAAGGCGGCCACAAGGCACCTTGCGCAGCTCAAGGAGAAATAATGGGGGCAGCAGAGAAGGCGACTCGATATATTGAGAGGGAAGTGAAGGGGCGAGGAGGTGAGGCATTTGGAAGCGGCGGCAGTGAGGGTGGAACGAGGCGGCGTGAATGAACCCCGCGTAGAGAGTTGGGCAAAAAATAGGGGAAATAGTGAGAGGGTGGTGAAGTAAGCGAAATGCGGTGTTGCCGGGGGAGTTGTCGACGCTGCATTCGTGCAGGGAATAACAAACCCTTCACTGCATGTGCCGCATAAACAAGAGTTACCACTTCTCTTGGCGCTCTTCTCTCCTTATGTTTTTTCCCCTCTTATTGCATTCCACACGCACCGTCCCGTGTTGCGTTTCCTTATTTCTTGGCGTTGGCGGTGCTCACTGGCTGCCTGCATGCCTCTGTACTCGTTCCCTCCATTTGCAACGTAGGAGCAAGCGAAAAGCGGGAGAGTGAGAAAGGAAAGAGACGAGAGAAGGCAGACACACACACATACAAACAAACAGAAATCAAACAGAGAGGAGGAGAGATACCAAAGGAATACGGAACATTTGATATTGTTGTTGTTTTCCCCTTCCCCCACCCCACCCCACCACACACACACTCTTCTGTAGGATTGTAGCAGCAATACGCAATGGAGCTCTCCTCCGTTGTTTCGGCCCTACAGGGAAACGCCGCCCTCGTGCCGCGTGCCGTATCTGTGCTTTTCAACTACGCGAACCCGCTCTCCGACAGGGAGGCGGCAAAGCTGTCGGAGTTCATCAAGGAGCAGCAGGAGACGGCCTCAGAGGCGAGTGAAGTGCCGGATAACATCAAGGAACTTATGGAACGACCGCTTCAGCGCCTGCCAGCTGTCGCCGTCATTCAGTGTGTCTTGGGTGTTGCCAAGATCCCAAGTTTCCCCCTGAAGTACCAGCGACGTCTCCAGCGGCAGCTTTTGCCTCTTCTCTGCAAGCGTGCATCGCTCGCACCGGAGGAGTGGATCCATGTGCTTCGGCAGACAGCGGCGCTTCCAATGAGCTACTCTGCCACAGCACTCCGGTGCGCGGAAGAGGTGCTGGCGGCGGCGGCACCGAAGGTGTTTGCCCACACTGAAGCATCTTCCAAGGAAGGGACCGTCGTGGAGGCGCAGAAGGTGTTCCTAAAAACATTTGCCGTGGTTGTTTTGCATCATGCCAGACACCACAACAAAAGTTTGAAACGCTCAGCATTGCAGAACATGCCTCTTGCGTCGAACGGTAACAAGAAGAATTTTATGGATTCTGCCCCTTTTAGGCGCCTTCAACGCATATTGAACATGAATTGCGGTCACGCAAAGGAAACGTGGTCGGCGGTGTTCCAAACGTTGTCACCAGCGGAAACGGTTATACTTTCCGTAACTGCGGCATGGGGTTCTCCCGTAAAGAATGACACAATACTGCAAGCGGTGAAGAGTTCTCCGGCGTTGCTGCTTCATCTCCTTTCTGAGCGGCCCTCCCCTAGCACATTATGGGTTGAGTGCCCCGATGCTGTCGTGCATGCTTGCATGTACAATATGGGGCTTACCAATTGCTCACGCGATAGCGCATTTGACTACCTCGTTTTATTGTTGGCGCTTTCTGGTGAGGCGACATCCGCATTTTTTACGTCGCGCGGGAAGGACGGATTTGTGCAGTTGCTAACACCCTTTGTGAACAACAGCAAGGTTCTGACTTCTGCCGTGGCAAGGGAATGGCAAGAGCTCTATGCCTTGCTTTTTCTTCACATGAAAGCCGAGGAGGAATTGCTGCCTCTGTTTGTTCAGGCGGCTTCATACCTTGTGGTAAACCGATGCCGGATTGTGACTGAAAAGGCCTCGATCATAACGCTTACCACCGCCGTGATGCAGGCCGTTTCTGAGGCCGCACGGGCGAAGGCCGCAGCCGCCGATTTGTCCCGCATGATCGAGCGGGAGCTGGCGAGTCCCGCCATTGAAACTGCCGCCGCTGCTTGGAAGCTTCTTCGAGTGGCCGGAGTGGAGGACGCGGTCGCTGATGAAATGCGTGCCGCGCTAAAAGCCGTCAAAAACAATGAAGAGCTTCGACGGGTGATGCTATTGCATATTTCACCGGAAACAGCACCACAGGATGTCGTTACTGGCCTCATAGAGCCGCTTTTGGGGGAATGCGAGGAGGTGGAGGTGTACCGAACAGATGCGTTTTTGGCGTTGCGCATTGCTGCGCAAGGGCGATTAAACGTGGCCGCAAGGCTGTGTGGTCTTCTCTCTC